AGATCTTTGAAGAAAGGTTTTGTGGAAAAGTTATAAACAGGTACTATCTTACCTGTTGTAGATAGCTCTTTGAAAAAAAAAAAAAAAAAGTTTAATTCTGACCTGACTGTCGAGCTAACGGCTAATCTAAGCAGAGCCAGAACCAAAGTGACTTCATGCTGTCTTAAAGGGATCACTGACTTATTGGAACAATAGACCTTATTAGATAAACAATATCTTCAGCTATAAAAACAGACAGAAAAATACTGTAAGCCATTGATTTTTTTTTACTAAATTTTTTTTTAACTAATGACACCCAGATATAACCATTCTATTTGATCTGCAATGCATTCTGGGTCAATGACATAGACAAGTTGATCTGGTCAATTCAAGCTAAATGGTAATTTTGGACATTATCTGACAAAAATCGCTAGCTAAATTAGCTCCAAAGCTAATAAATAAGACGTTAGCTCCAGAGGTAGCCTAAGAGCAGTAGGACATAATAAATTTTACATTACATGATTTACATACATTTCTGTGGTTATTTGCGAACAAAAGCAGCAGCTAGCTGTAGCACTTCCAATGCAGACTGGTGATTACTAGCATTACAATTCCAAGTGGATTCTGAATATTTCTGCCAGAACAGACATATAAAAGCAAATTGATAGCAATGTGAAAGTTCATAAAACAGCATTAGCACAAACTGTTAAGAAAAGTTGGAAACTTGAGACGTTTTAAGATGGCACCAGTCCAGTTTAGTCCTGACCCAACTCGAACCATTAGCTCATCAGTCTGTTCAGGACTGAACCATTTCTCCAAATTGAGTTCATTCTACCTACAACAGATATTATTCATAACCTTTCCACAGAACTTTACGCAAAACCATCTAAAAGTGCAAACATAAAGTTTAAATTTACCTGGAAAGATATATTAGCCTCCCTGCTAACTAGTTAACACTGAGTGTGTTTGTGCCCAGATAAAAACATGTTTACTGTAACAGAAAGCTCAAACACAACCTCGCGAAAAGTGTTCATCTCTGGCATGTTTATTTCAAACATTACACACCGACAAGAGTACAAGTACAGCACTGAGTGCAAAAGATGTGAGCACATATGTGCGCCGCTGTGTCCATTAAGACCTTTTGATTTGACTGCAGTCTTTTGATAGTGAACCCAATAGCCCACGCAGCCTTTGTATTTGTGTGTCACAGTATGCGAAACAGTGTAATGTCCCATAGGCTAAAGTACTACAGATTTGAATGTGTTTAACAAAACAGACACGGTTGATATTAGGTCAACGTTGTGCCACGGGCGATGCAGCAAAAGGAATCAGATGTGGGCGGGAGAGCTTTTCACTCTCCGCTTTTACTCCTTTTCCTTAATAGTTAAAAGGATGTGGTGTGTTTAAGCAACACAACAGTACACTACCTCAACAGCTTTTATCCTGACTTAAGCTATATTTTGTGCGAGACCCACGTGTGCACTCAGCCCCCTCTCCCGCGCACACACTAATGTGAGGTCATGGAGCCAACAAGCTAGAAAAGCTTGTAATGGAGAGCGTTTATGGGTAGTAATGCAACCCAAATACAGAGTGCCGCTCTCGCTCCAAATGTGATCATTTAATCAAAGTACAGATGCACAAAGTCTTCTTAAATAACCTTTGGATTTGGCTGTATTTGGGAATTATAAAGGCAAAGCTAGAGGCTGAAGGCCAAAGCAGATCACAGGGAAGGGATTTTCTGCATATCCTGACACAGTCAGTCAGTCAGTCAGACAAGTCGGTCAGTCTCTGAGCAGGACAGGAACTGTCCACAGCCTGCCGACGCACCCAGTACAATCAAAGCATCAAACACCCAACAATACAGAGAGAGGGGGTCTTTGGGGACATCAAGTTTTTTCTCCCACAAAAAAAAAAAGCTCTACACAACAGCCACACAGAGGCGCTATACAGTAGGTAGACAAACGCACTAAAAATCACATGAATACACAAAAACACTCCACAGAAACACACTTCTTTTGTGGCATGAAAGCCAGCGGGTGCACCCAGTGACATCAGCGTAGGACTTCTGACACAAACCCAGAGCCTCGAAGCCCCTACTGTACTTCCTCCATCTCAGACGAGCCTTTTCATCTCTTATCTCCTGCTCCTCACTCAACCGCTCCTTTTCTTTTCCACCCTCAGCCTCTGCCTCTATTCTTTCCCCACAAACACACTGCCCTCCACTTTTTACCCCACGCCTTTTCATCTCTCTTATTTTCTCCTTCCACCTCGCGTCTCTCATCTTTCGCTCGCTCTTCTTCGGCCTCCGTCCTCGGTGCCAGCAGGATATTCCCCCGATTTAGTTTTTCATTTCCCCTCCTCTATCACACTCTTATCCCCTGCTTCCTCGCTGAGGCCTTCGAGCCCCTGGCTTGCTGTTTGCCCCCTCCCAGCTTTCATCACTCCATTCCTTTTTCGTCTGTGGCTTTCTCCACATTGCGTTTTCACAGCGTGTTACCTTGGGGATTTGAAGGAGGCTTAAAAAGAAGCTAGATGTGAGTGTCTGCGAGTGTGTATACGTCTTGCACCGTTCCTTTTTGTGGGTGCTTAAGACGGACATGGAAAGGAGGAAAAAAGCCCACAGCTGGCTAATCATCAACAATTAAATCGTTATACACAAATAAATCCCCCCACACACAAACATGAAGAGGAGCTGGCACGCACGCACGCTCTTAAAGCATCCTGAGGGGCTACAGATCAATATATCATTAATCTTTAACTAGGACTAAACGATTAAAAAGCGGTCAGTCAGACCCTCGCAGCGCCGACACAGACAGGGGGGCTAAGCTACAGCTATAGCGCCCTTTTAGGCAATGCACCCCCAAATTCTCAGAGTGTGTCATTTCTGTGTGTGTGCTCGTGCACATTTTAAAAGGCAGATTACCCTAGGAGGACAGAGGAGGGCAGGGGGTGTCACGCAAAGTCGTCCTCACAAGAAAGTTTACAACGAGTGTGTGTTTTTGCAGAGGAAAAAGTGCACGATGGTACGAATGGCGTTTTGTGTGTTTTTTTTGTTTTTTTTTGCTGTGTTAAAATATATGCAGTCAAAGGGTTAAAAGTTGTGTTCAGCCAAACACTGGCGATTTGCTCAGCCAAGCAGTAAACGGAGGAAGGACTCCAAGGACTGGGAGGGTGCAGGGTTAGAGAGGGTTTGTGTGCGCTTTAAAGCGTTGCATTAAAATTTCAGATCACAGCACGCCACATAGTCAAGGACCCTGACTGCCTCGGGCTCACGAGTGAGCGAGCGAGTGTGTGTACTCGTATGTGAGTGTGCGTGCGTGTGTGTGTGTGTGGATGTGGGCGGGCATGTGCTTATTAGTTTCTGTAAGCAAACGGGGGCCGACTGTGAGCGCCTTTTCAAAATTATTTTTTTCCCCCTGACATTGAAGGAACAGACAACGACAGAAAAAAGGAAGTTTCAAGAAAGTGGAAGAGCGATGTAGTCAGGGAGCAGAAAGAGAGGGAGTGCTCCCAAATAAAATACAGATAAAGAAAAAATAAGTATTGATTAATGCCACTCCGCTGCATGCGATGTCTTCCTATGGCCTTTCCACCAACACAAACACACAATGTGGAAGATAAAAGACAGCGTGGGAGGTGGAGAAGAAGAAAAAAAGTATTCTGAGGAAGACAGAAGAGGCATCGATCTGTTTTTAACAGCCAATCAATTTAACAACTCTGGTAATGGAGAGACACGGCGAGTCTGGGGCAGAGTAAACGGGACTGGAAGGGGCAGGTTTTAAAAGCCATGCTGACGCCCTGCTGTACTTTGTGCATGCACGCAGGATGCCCTTGACCATTTTATTAACAGCCCTGTATTTAGCACGGGAGTTCAGGTTTCACTGCGGCGCACCAATTATCAATAAAGCGCCATAAACCCCTCCCGTTTCTTTCCCTCCCTCGGTTTTACCAAAGAAGTTCGGGCGTTCGGCTGCTTCTGGTTCCCACCGCAACTCCTGAGAGAGCGACGAGTGTGAACGTCATAAAGTGGCACTTCACGGTGTGGAGTGCAGACATGGAAAAGCTTCTGTTCTCATCCCGGCCTCCACTATAAGATCAATAATGACGCTCACACGAAGCAAGTAACTGAAGCTACCCCATCTTTCAGAATCTCGAAAGAATACCTGTGCAGTGTTAGGACTGGGCTCCCACAGTGAACTTCCTCTCCCTGTCATCATTCAGATAAATCAGAGAGAACTCTAAACTACACCACAAAAAAATAAATCTATTTTGATGCATTGCCGAAGCTGCAGAACGCATTAGAATCCCTTTCAGTATTTACAGTGCGTGGGTAATGCTGGGATTTGGAGGCTGCTGAGCGTTGTGGGAGACATTCCAGCTGTTAGGGAGAGTGGATATAAAGAGAGAGAGAATGGAAGGGAGGTGGGGAGTGGGAGATGCACTAAACAGGATGATTATGTCAAGAACAGAATATGGAGGAGACAGAGGGTAGAAGTCCCCCCCATCCCCCCGTAAATACACATGTAGATCAGCGAAACACGTACTTAGCTGTAGATTCTTCATCATACTTTGTCTTCAAATCAAAGAGCTCAGCCTGAGTTGTTTCAAGTGCTGAAAAAAAAAAAAAAAAAAAAAGGGGGGGGGGGGGGGATGAGTCAGCTGTGCATTCATCTGCTACAAGTCAGCTCCCGAAAAGAGAACTAAATTTCCCAACATTTAAAGAAACTTTCTGACAAATCCAAATTTAGGATTATTTCACATTAATGAATTATAAAGCTCTGCTTTTGTGTTGTTTTTTTTTTCTCCCACGGTTTTAAAGGAACTGAGAAGTTATTTGCTTACGCTAACAAACCATTGTTAATCTCATTAACCACACTCACCTACTCCAGATGAAACAGATTAACCTAATTTATTGTTTTAATCCTTTTATAGGTCTGAACATTTAAAATGAGAAACCCTTCAAATCTGAGTACAGTTTTCGTAGGACTTATCGCTAACCCCACCTCTTTTTTTTCACAGGAATAAGCACATTTGTTTGGAATTTGACTGGACTGGATTGGCTGGTACCTGTCTGCAGGGACTGGACCTTGTGTTCGGCCTCTTTCAACCTCGAGGACATGGAGTCCTGGCTCTCCTGGAGTTTTCTAAAGAGGTGCATAAAAAGAGAGCAGGAAGCAGAAAGTCAGAGTTAAAGAGATAGTGACTTGGTTGCTCTTTGGGTTCACACTTCGTGGCAACTATTCTCCGTCAGTTTTCCCCCCACTAAAATCCTCCCCAACACAACCCACTCCTCATTAAGCAGCCCTATTAGGCAGGAATGTCTGGCCACTGGGGCACGTTGCACCCAGGGGTGGATGGAGGGGAGGGCAAGGGGTTGAGTCAGGGAAAGGGAGGGGTACAGAAAACCACACGGACAAAATAGATTCATTCTTGGCACATAAAAAGTTGGGCTCCGCAGAGAAATCGCTGCTGTGTGTAAAAACATCAATAATCTAGCACAAATACCGTCTTTATGACACCCTTTGATGCCCCCTCCCCTCTCCGCCAATCTGTCTCTCCTGTCATCTCTATTTTTCTGCCCTCTACTTCATCCTTTCATCTCAGTCTCTCTCTCCTTCACTCCCTCCTTGCTGGGAGAAAAAAAAAAGGCATCAGGAGGTGCCATCCATTTACTACCCCTCTCAGACACAGGAAGTCAGCTCTCAGCAGACAGGAAGAGGCCTATAAAATCCTGACGTACAGGAAACACAGTTGGACAATTGATCTTCGACTGAAAGTCTAAAAAAACGCTTTCATACACCTTCTGAAAGTTAACAAAATGACTTTAAAATGGGTGAATCTAAAAATTGTCTTTTTTTTTAAAACTACGAATCTTTTAGAAAAATACTTTTGAATAAAACGACAATAAAATATAATTTTCTCTACGTTTAGGCCTCTAACAATCGATACATTTAGATACGAGTGGTGTAGCACCACAACTCGATTTCAGACCATCTTGAGGACTTCTTCTCAGTTTGTTCAGCTGTTTCACTTGAAAATGGCACAAATGTTTGTTCTCTAACTTCACGTTCAGAGAACAAAGTTAGTGTCGGAGTTAATACCAGCTTACACACATCACGGGCTGGTTTCTGTCACATTAGTATCAAATAGCGAGCCAGGGAAGGAGGAAAGAAACCCATATCAGATGTTTACTGAGATAATATGGCTGCCCACATCTCAGGCAATTAGTTTAATTGTTTTTACGTTACCCGGGGCCCCTCATGGGGAGGGACACTTAAAGAGCATTTTTGGACTTGATAGGAGTGATTATGCCATTTCAGCAATCAGATCAATTGCTCAACATTTGCTCAACATGCAGAGGTACTGTTGAGCTATTTATTACAGCTACAGGCGTCGTGTGGAGCCTGCTGTTAGTAAAGTTGAATATTCAAGGTTCCTTCTTCATTTCCTTTATTCCTTAATTTATATATAAGCTTTTCCAGGTGCAGATTTTAAAATTCCTCCTTTAATTTTCCAACCACCTTTCACATCTCAGTACAAAGGCTGTAAATGTTTAGAGCATAATTTTGAAACTTCAAAAGTTGTTTGATGGCAAATATTTTTGTGACGATTGTAGTTTTTGTTGTTGTAGATTGTACAGAACAATTACAACCATATGTTTTTAAGTTATTTAAATGTTATTATTTAAATATGGTGCAGTCTCCCTTACTTTAACCTTGTTTTGTTTTTCTCCAGATTTCAGTGACGTCAAGTTTACTCTGATTTATTTAATTCCACACATTGATTAAACCTTCATTTATCAAAGGTGCCATCAAGCAAATATCTATTTTTATGCATAATCAATGGAAAAACACTAATTTTGGCAAAATATAAAAAAAAAAAATAGCAGAAACCTATCTTTTAAAAAATGGTCTGGAAACAGAAATGTTTTTCTATGCTCCATTTCCATTTTCCGAACTTGTTCATATTTACAAAAAACAAAAACAAAATTCAAACTGTTCCGTACTTTTATGGCTCTGTGAGAACCCTGACTACGATGCTAAAAAGGTAGCGACTGACCCCATCCGGATTAAAAATGACTCTAAAAAACAACAAATAGTCATGAGGTTAATTCCAAGAATCAAATAAAACTGAAAGATGTTTGCTAAAAGCATATTGGCATCCGTTATAAAATATATATTTTAAATGCTGTCATTAACTGATAAAACCTCAGGCTGTTTGTGGCATCTTATTAGTTTTAATTATTAGCAATGTTTGCATGCTTTAATCAACAACAATTAGGTTGAAAGTTTCTGTTGTTATTACTATATTGAGGGGAAAAGCTGAATAATTTGTGAACTTCTGCTTGAGATCATCTCTATTCCTTCAGAAATATTTAAGAACTCAACAAGCAACTTTTTCATTTTTTGGTAGACACCTACACTGAAAGAACTAAAAAGTTATAGTTAATATACTTCAGTCTTAAAACCATCATTCAAAGACGAGAACTGACACTTCTGCCCGAGGGCACAAGAACCTAGAGATCTAAAAATAGCAACAAGAGTGGTTGGAGAAGAACGAGTTTCAAGCAAAACATCAGCGCAACTCAAAAAAATAGAGCTATACCTCTCTTTTTCTGCATAGTCATTGTGTAGCTGGAGCTGCTTCTCTTGGGCCAAGTTCTCAGCCTGATTCTTCAGAGTCTGCTCGTACTCACGGATCTTCTCCTTCAAGGCCTTAATGGTCACCTCTGATGGGGCGCAGAAAAACAAGCACTCAAAGGAAGGATCAACACGCAGGCATTTTTCAAGAACACATTGAAAAACAGACTCTAGTTGATGTGATAAATGGCAGCGGTGAAGACGGCGCTTTTGATGGGGGCGTTTTGACCTCTGCTTAAGAAACGCCACTTCATATTCCACGTTCTTCCTCTGCGAGAAGCCCCCCTTTGGCTCCAGCCTAATCTTTACATCCGCCACTGGCACAGAATATTCAATCACCAGCGGTAGATACGTTGTATTCATTAGGGCTGCATTAGATGTGAATTCCCACAACTTGCTGACGGCTGAGCTCCGTACGGGGTAGCCTGAAATAAATCTAACACATAACTGGAGTAATAAACAGGCGTCTGCGCATGAAAGAGTGTTTGTGTGTGTTTTTTCAGAGGAAGATATAAGTGAGTGAGACAATGATTTAAAGCAATGCTGCCTGATGCTTTGGACTGAGGGCTCTTAGCACTCTGTGTGTAGGTGTGTGTGTGTGTGTGTGTGTGTGTGTGTGTGTGTGTGTGTGTGTGATTTAAACTCCAGTCTCACAGTTCTGACACATAATCAATAGAGGAGAGTCCCCTTAGAGCCCTCTTACCCCTTAACTGCTTAACTGAACTTTAAACATTTAGGTTGTGGGGATCAATGGCCTCTGCACTCTGTGTGTGTGTGTATGTGTGTGTGGCTGGGTCTGCGTGTTCATTTAACAGGAGTGGGAGTTCCAGAGTGTGTTTTGGGGGTTTAAATATCCCCCATCTATTGAGGCGGGAAGGAGGGATAAAGGATGAGGGAACAGGAAAATCAATGGTAGAATGGAACCCTGCCGCTATCGAGCTGTTCCAATTAACTCTCGCTGAGGAAAAGAGGGGGAGAAAAAGAAGGGGAGATTCCAAAACATTCCCTGCTCGCTCACTCGCTCCGGTTTTGACTGAAGCTGCAGCACTTTTATTACCACTTCACACTCATCTCTCCGTCTTTGTCAGTTTTTCCATCTTTCTTCTACCCCGAGGTAAAGCGTTGTTTTTTATTCATGAAACGGCGCCTCGTGTTTTTCCTCCTCTCTCTTTAAATCCTGTTTGAAAATGTAAAACCTTGTTCATTTTGTGTGTTTCTGAAAAATTTATGAGTCATTAAATATGTTCAAATATGGACTTAATGCTCCAAAAGTATTTTTGTTGTGTTGTTTTATTTGCACGCAAACAAGAGTTTTGCATATTATTAGGCAAAAAGGATTTTATTAGTGTACTTTATGTGCATCTGCACAAATGTAGCAGAACAAACTCTAATTTAAGTTAATATATTTTACTCATCATATTAAACTTTCCTACAATTTCCCAGTTTGTTTTCCCAAGCATGGTGCTACTTAAAACCTTTACAAGATTAAAATATTTCTGTAACTTTAGCAACTGAAACAGTTTCGGAAGCTGCAGATTTACGGTCATGTCTAAAATAAAGAGGAAAATAAAATTCTGTTCACATTGGTTTAAATGAAAATCCTGTGAAAATATTCAAACAGGTAGGAAAATGAGAAAAGAAGGGAAGTTTCTCATGACTGTTGGAGACTAGCTGGTCAAAACGGTAAGAAAATATGCAGATTTGAAACCAGGTGACCATCAAGGCCACATTTTGACATATTTTTAAAATACAGTAAGTAGTCCATCGTTTATCGCGAGGGATCCGTACCCTGAAGCCCTGCGATAAGTGAAAAACCACAAAGTAGGAATAGTAGTACAAGTAGTAGTTTATTTTAGTATTTATCCATCCATCCATTATCTTTACCTGCTTCTTTTTCGGGTCGCGGGGGTGGCTGATGCCCATGTCCAGCCATCACTGTGCGAGAGGCGGGGGACACCCTGGACAGGTCGCAAGTCCATCACAGGGCTTTTAATATTTACTTATATATATTTACCCACACTCTTGCAATATTCTAAACAATGTTTCTAAACTCTCTAAAAGAGCACAGAATGTCATGATTTCAGTTCTCTGCCTCGCTGCTCTCAGCCACCTGCAAGCGTTCTTGGCCACGCCCACTTCTCCGCTCTGCATGAAGAACAGATTATCAGTTGCAGCAGGAAGCGTATCCTGCAGTATGGGCTTCACAAAGGTGCAGCAGCTGCTAAATAATTTTAAATAATTTACTTTAAATTAAAATTGCAAGCCGATCGTGTGGCTCATCTATCAGTCAGCCAATTGTGTGTCATGTCCAATCTTACATGTATTTTGAAAAAACACAATAGAGCGAGTCAGCGAAAAACGAAACGTGAAGTAGCGAAGGACTACTGTATCGTGACTTATCGTTGGGTGCACGGCTTGCAGAACCGTATTCTTGGTCGTGCACATTATTTTGTTGTCCCCTCCACTCGCATTGTACCCATCTTTGCAGCCAACCTCACGTTTATGATTTATTCTGCTGGAACACATGATGAGATGAAGGCAGCACTTTTAGAGCATTTATTAAAATAATTGTATATGAATAGTTTTTAGATCTTGACATTTGCCTCTGATGTTTTCTGTCAAAAGAGATCTCCCAATCAACAGCTCAAAACTCTTGAGATGAGTTGGAGAGGCCTACGACAATTCAGGTGAGTTTGAGACTCGAGGTCTGGAATGACTCAAACTATTTGATAGAAAACGTGCACGTGCTCAAACCTCAAGCGACAGGACTGCACGCCTCTGAGTCACTCAAAGAATTTGACATCCACCGTGCACATCGCAAAACGTTAAGAAGATTCCCACATAAATGCCATTTGCAAACTAGTCACAGCCCAGTGTGATGCCACCGCTAAGCTAGTTAAACTTGTTTTTAGACATTGAGTATTACAGACATAATTTTTTTTTTTTAAAAAGATGTTCAATATATCTTTAGAAAACACAGATGCAGCTCAGAGCTACAAGGTTTAGCTCAATTAGCCTACATTATAAAACAGACACCATCATTGTTTGTAAAAGTCTACACACATACACTTAAAATGAGTTCTGTGACTACCCTCTAGTCCAACTCAGGAGATTATAAGTGACGGATCAACTTTGACTCACCCTTACACTTTATGTTTGACACAGTTAAGAAATAAAAGATTTAAGGCTTGTCCTGACCGGTGTACTGAACTGTATACATAACCTGAACAGGAGGAGACCATGTCCAGTCTAAAAACATTTAGGAATATAAATTTAACCTCATTTTCCAATTATAGATTTATTGATTGTCAGTAGAGAGAATGTTTAAAAATGGTTGAAGTGAGTAGTGTGTCAAGTAAGTTACACTATTCTTATTTCTATTACTTCTTGCATAATTAACTTTATTTAATGATCTTTAAACAACCCGTTCTTGACTGAAGCGGGCTTGTTTTGTAGAATGCTTCATTGTAAAAATACAATGTCTGTGTTTTTATCTTTGACAGAGTTTCACAAAGAAGTCTAATGATTTATTTGAGTTGCCTCAACAGCAAAGCGAAGAGAAAGTGAGAAATATCATTAATTGTTTGCCTAAGCACATATCCCCCTCTAACCTTGGTTTTTAACTTCTGCGAACTCTTTGTTGTAGTCCTCCAGTGTCTCTCGAAGCTTGGTGTTCTCTGTCTCAATGTCGTGCATCCTCTGGAGCTTCAGCTGCAGCTGCTGAGCCAGCTCCAACACAGGTACAGGGTCTGGGGGAGAAAACACATACACATCGTGTTTAACACACCGCAAAGCAGATCAGACAAGCAAGGGCGGCGAGGTGGCCCAGTGTGCTAGGAATAACTACAGTCAAGGCCGTGTGAGAGCGGGCGATCGTCCTAGTGAAGTGTCCTTGAGCTAGGCAATGAATCTAACGGCTTCAGGACAAATGTTTTGGAGCGGACCCCAACCTTTGATCTCGCTGTGGAAAATGATTGATTCCAACAAGAACCAAAGCATAACAATTAACAGAAACGCTATAAGTTATGTTCAGCGTCAACTGTTCAAGACAAACATTTGACGATATGAGCAGAACTAACATCCCATACTGAATTATTTCATTATTATCAAATGAATCTGTGTTTTAAGACACTAAAATTCAACGTTTTATTGTCAACCCTGTTTGTCTATTAGCAAAATATGTCATGAACCACTGGACAGATTTCAATGAAAGTCTCCAAGTAATCACTGCTTGTACATCCACGATGACTGGCATTAAAGGCAGCGGACGATATGCACTCCTTCATAAGATGCTGAGGCTGTTATTAGTTCTAATCTAAAGCACTGTCACTAAAAAAACAAAATGAGATGAGTCAAGGTCCGCTGTCAATGTGAACGATAACTCCTGTACAGACAAAACCTCTCTCATGAAGTGCATCAAACGATACACTATCAACTTTTGTATCACAAAACTATTGTTGAGTTCTGAGAAAAACATCGGCTTCGTCGAGGAGGGGCTAATGCTGACGCAGCAGGTGAACTGCATAACAGATACCAGCAGAGGCAGATAAACGGGAGCGCAGATGAGACACATTAACAAGAGAGATTACCGAGCTGTGATCAGTTGAAAGTGTTCGCTATGATGCAGCTTGAAAGGGAGGAGAAAAAAAAAAAAAAGGGAAACATGAGAGCAGACAGTTGGACAAAACGAAGCTGTAAAAACCAGGCAGCGAAAGAGGTAAATAAGAGATTAGAGAAATGGTGACACGAGGAAGAAAGGCAACTTTAGAGGCATTTTAGCAACAACTCTGGAAAACACGCAGCAGGGTTAACTGTCAGCGTGATGAAGAGAGCCCTGTCAGTCAGGCCAATCACATCTGATTGGTGCTCATGGGTGGCAGACTGGTGACAGGCAGCCAAGAGACGCAGGCAACGCTCATCAGCGTGCCAGCTAAAAGAGCAGTTTATGCATGTGTGCGTGTTTAAGTGTGTGTGTTGTACAGATAAGAGGAACTGACAGCTTACAGCTGGGGGTAAGAGCTGTGTGTGTGTGTGTGTGTGTGTGTGTGTGTGTGTGTGTGTCATGTCTGACGCAGTTAGATATCTTAACTATGCTAATGAGAGATCAGCAGAGAACGATTGGGGAATTTCATGCTGATTTTGTGCTGTCAAGGTGACACACACACACACACACACCTTCACATAAACATGCATGAGGCTCAAACACACACAAACAAATACTAAGTAACATAACTGTACGCTCTGGATATAGACTCCTATCAGCTTTGCAGTCCTTGAAAATTAACTTTCTCTCCCTCTTATCAAAGCTTTGTCCTTCACACAACCCCCTCTCCCCCTTCAAATCAACCGTACAGCCTGTTAAAAACAGTTTGACTTGTGGGCCACTGGTGCTGAACGTTCTCGCCAGACACCTTTAATCTAAAGCAGAGCACACTGGGCCGAGTATCCAGGCCTTCAGCTGACAGAAGACAGGAGAAAACACACAGTTTCCTCTTTCAAGACTGCTGCATTAGTCAGACTGGTTTGTGTCTCTGTGCATCGGGCATTACATCATTGTCTCACTGCAAGTTAAGAATAGCCCCGTCAGTGCTGCCGCTGACTTATTGGGAACAGTACAATCCAAAGATATTACTGTAGGTCTATCCATGTGGGAATATGGTGACCTCCTTACGCTATAGATGAACTCAACTCCTTTCCTACATACAGGGCCCCTCCTGTATTCCCACACAGCTGCCTGCTCGTGTGTGCACTTTGTCTCAACCAATCCTGGCCATACCCGCCATCCATATCACCTACACCTTGTGTAAAACCCATCTAAAAGCTACTCCAGTGGGCTGAGACTTCATGAGGAGACATTAGGATGTCACACAAACAAATGAGCAATAAGACAGGACCAGACGGGCTACTGGTGGGGTCATTTCTTTTCACAATGAAAAGTCTACTCATCATTTTGCTGGACTTGAGGTGTTAAACTCTTGTTTTGTTCTTTTACATGAACCTATTATTTAAACACCTTTTAGCCATCACCCTACGTTTTGTGGCTTCGAGATATTGAAGAAGGGGGTCCTGGTTGTTACAGAGGGGCAAGACTAGGCCATAAAAACAAGACTTTTTTTTTGTGGCCCACGTGAAAACATGGTGTAAACTGCGCTCGTCAGGAAAAAGTAAAAGTTTCTCTGTTGGCAAAGAAAAAACTTTTTCCCCTGAGAGTATTCAGTATTGTAATGCTTTATTTGATGTATCCCAGTGTATTATGTTTGATATCTTTCTCAATAATCCAAGCATAAAAAACTGTTAAAATACAGGTAAGTTTCTTTTCACAAATATTTCACTAGTACAAAAACTACTGTAATGTTTATTTTGATCTACTCAGAAATATGTTTGGCATTGTTGACAAATATTACCCAGCAAGCACAGAAAATTATGTCAGTAGTGTCATACTTTGCTTTGTTGCCTTAACAAATGCTGCAGCAACCAATTTAGTGTATTTCAATGTTTTACATCAGGGATTATTATCATTCTCTAACAAAGTCTTTTGAAAGCCATATAACTAGTTTCACACATGAGACTATTTTGATGTTATGTCTGTTTAGATTTTTAAAAAAAAATCTTCAAAAACACATTCTCTATTCTGCAATGGAACAAAAAAACACAGATTAATCGGACGACTAACTTTAATCGACCACTATGGGCCGCTTTATTAGCCATGTTTGTACATACTTCACCAATTACCAAGCAGGAAAATGAAGATGCAGCTGCTACATGCAAACCTATTGAAGCCCACAATTTAGGTTTTGATGTAACATTGTTTTTTTTTATTTTTCATTTTTATAAATTATGTTTACAAGTTCTTCTAAATGTGCTGATGCATGCTCATCAACCAAGGTGGATAAATCTAACAAGGTGGAGTCGGTTCCTCAGAACAATCCGTCCATAGGACCTGACTCAACCTTGATAAAGTTCTTCTAAGGGTTGTTAAATACACATATATTTAACTTAAGCAAATATTGATAGATTTAGTTAAAGGAAAATTTCATATTGGCCCCCTAAATAACATGAGTCATCGGCTGCCCTGATTTCAAAAGATCAGCATGTGCCATACATAAAAATCACATTAGTTGACCTCTAATGGGATATCTTAAGTGCTACGGTTTGCAACTTTGAATAAAGACCAAGGAATAGACAAACTTCAGCAAATGGGGTTTGGCTGAACAGTCTTCTTACCTGGGACATCGATTATTTTCTTGTACACGTTCAAGAAGGCGGCCTCTGCTTCTTTACTTCTTTTACTCAAGGCATCAATCTGTAAGAACAAAACAGCAAAAGTAACAGTTAATTATCAGATGCACCCCCTCCGATCTGAGTGTCAGATCCATTTACCCCAGAGGAGGGCCTGTTAAATTCACAGTAAGAGTAGTCTATATATCCGTCTATCCTCACTATGCGTTGGTATGTTGCCAGCAATCACGGCTGTCTTAACAGTGGCTGCTTTGGCGTTTCCTTCTCGTGAAGTCAGTTCAGCTGTTCAGCTGCTGACGGACGCATTTCGTTTGTCGTGCACCAGTGTGTGTCTGTCTGTCTGTCCTCGAGTGCCCAAGTCCGTCAGTCAATGTGTGTATGTAAAAAAAAAAAAAATTATTATTTTTTCCCCTCCAGCACACTGACATCATTAAACAGCTGGCTCAGTCTTTCCAGCCACAGCAGGGGCAGATTATTCAGTCAGCTTTTAGTAGCAATACAGTGTGGATCCATTACTGATGTAGCCATTAACACGAGAGGGCACGGCGTGCGCTCCATCACCGATATTATTGAAAAGGACAGTACTAGGTTGGATCTATAAGAGATTAAATCTGAAAATGGCACGTAGAAACTTTTACACTGTTGTCAATGCAGCAATACGAGGCAATGAGCTCCTCTACAGTCTCTGTGGCACGCTTCAATATGAGAGTCAGACACAGTAGGCGAAACACATCTGAAATCGCGTCTAAATTGAGGGAAACAGATGCCAAATAAAGACATTCAGATGCTGCTACTGTACCGGGCAGAGCTACAGCCGACTACTCTGGCTCAGGCACTCAGACTAAACAGCCTTGTGATTCGCTTCCAACTCCTCCAGCATATTCACAACTAAAAGAAAGAATAGGAGACAAAAGCCTATATAAGTCCAAATATAAAGTCTTCACATTCCCAGCCAAGCCAGTAGTGGAGTTGATGGGTGGTTTAGGGGTTCCTGCCACTGTAAACAGAACAGGCTACATGTAATACTGCCTGGGCTCCTATGGGAACCTAATAAATCTCTTCACATGGCTTTGATTCACTCTAGTTTTTTTAGCCGCAAAACATCTGGCCCTGAGTAGGCTGGTGCCAGCACCCCCCCCCCACCACCACCACCTTTTTGTGTTATTTCCATGTCTTTCTCCCAGTCTATATCTTGTCACTTACATGCTCTGATTCATTCTTTTTTCCTCTCCCTTTATCTTTTTTCAGCGTCAGTCTTTCTCACATGGTTCCCTGTCACACAAACATCGTAACCTGTTCCTTCCTCTCACGAACAAATCCACAACTCTTATACATCTCAGTTTCAAAAACTGCTGCATCAACGTACTTCAGCCTCCAGAGTGACTGTGCGTGATCGAGATACTCTGATGCAAGGCCATCAGTGGAAGATTAAATACCAATACTGAACACATTGTGTACAGAAAAATCTGATCAGAGATTCTGTGTACCACAACAAGAGCTTATGATAAGGAGCACACATAAATTATCAACTGGGAAAAAATAAGATCTGCTGATGGCAGTGAAGGAAACCAGCTGTATGACTGTACGATGACTGGGCCAAGGTCAGTGGTACAGCAGCTTTATATAGCGCAACATGGGAGGCAGGAAATAGACATTTAATGTAGGACACACCCTACAGTTAAAAGCAGGTTAACTGCAGGACCCGAGCCATTAGAAGACCACCCAGGATTTGCAAATACAACCCTGCTGCTCTGAACTGCAGCTTGTTCAACCAATCCCAATGACATCTGCTATTACATGCTCCCCTGCCCCCATCCCCCCCCCCCCCAACTACAAACAGCACGCACACACACACACACACACAGCAAGCACAACAAATGAAGTGACACAAATGAAACATCGCCAGTATCAGTGGGTTACTGATGAGAAATGCTTACAATTGCAAAAGGTATCCCTGACACATCCACACACAAACACATACATACATACGTCAGCACCTTGTGGCACCAT